TATAAGTTACCTTGGAAGAATATGACCACACCTTTGTAGGCATGGTGACACTCCACACTAATTTATGAAGTTTTTTTCCGCTGGGAACAAAAGACACACTTTCACTCAGCTACTCAGTTGTTACACCATAACATCTCAATGCACCAATTGAGGGCGCAACTTATAAGAAACCCCACAGTAGATATTCGTTTAGTTGCTGGCCGATGGGGCGGTAGATTAGGCTGTAAAAGTCCGCGGACTGTCACGTTAGCGTAACCATAGACTCTAAAAATATCTTCTATTTTATTTATAGTCTGTAGCATAATACACTCCAAAATCACATATTTGTACTTGTTAGGACATGCACATTTCAGGCAGAAACCTACTCATAAATTAAAATACTAGTACCCAGAATTGATTCATTCTGCAAGTGTACTCCATTGCAATATAAGATTATTGACTTAAAACAAGTTTGGGGTCACCAGCCTTATTTTCGAGAAACTGGTGGTTGTATTTTAGTTGAAAATCGCCATTTTGGCTCTGTTATCATGCTTTTACCATAGGTTTCTATGGCAGAGATATTATGCAATATCTCAAAATCTAACCTGGTGACATAGGCTGAAAAAATCATATATTGTGAATGATGGAGTACTTTTTGTTGTGAATTATTTAAAAAATCTGGGTTTTAAAAAGTATCAAAAAATGCAATTTTTCTTTAACATTGTGCTCTATGGAATAGCAATTTTCAAGAAATATTAGGACACTTTTCTCAAAAATCTTAACTAACACACAAAATAATGCTATTTCATTATACCATGGAACATTAGCTTCATGATTGTACATAATAAACACATGAACATGTGTTTTATGACCAATTTTGTCAAAAATTATGAGTAGGCTTCTACCTTAACACTCCAAACATTACCCGAATGACGTCACGGCATCTGAAAGATTTTCGTGCTAATTGCAAAATGGTAAATAACGTATTAGGAACAATTTAATTGGGAAACATATTTGTCAATCATTTCAGTATCTTACCAGCCACAGTGCAACATGGTGTGTTTCCCATTGTTTACCGCACTGTGTGGTGTTATAATTATTGTTTTCGCGTTGACTTCTAACACACAGTGGGCACGCTGTGTTAGTTAATAGACTTATTTACCACTTCTCAGAATCAATTAATAACAAGACCATTCGCGCGATATGTCTCGCTTCACAGATGTAACGATGTTATTTGGTACATTTCATTCACATTCACACGACCACAATAATTTATATTAAATACAGTAAATCACAGCATAAGCTAGAACCGACGTTTAGGCTAAACTATAGGAGTAGGCCATACTAAAACATCACATCTATAATTATTCTTAAACAATTTAGATAAATCGGTTGACAAAACCAAACTAGTATAGCTTAGTCAGTCTCGTCTTTTTATCAACTTAGCTGTCGATACTCAATTTGGCTATTCTCCAACCAAACATCATATTAACATATATGTGACTGATAGCAACGTATTTTCTTTTGTGTATTTGTTTCTATATTATTACGTGATTGACAGCGTGTGTAGCTAATTGCAGCTTGTGATTTCTGGCATTAATGAGGGACATGTCATGGTGTTACTGGGCACAATTCCCCACTGTAAGCTTAAAAACAGTTTGCCTGAAAGTTTCAGTGTATTGTTGAGAGGGTGGAATTATTTAATAGCCAGTGTATAAGCAGCTAACACCACGGGACACCTGGGAGTTGTTTGGGGTTACGACCTCACATCACCAGTCTGTCCCGTGATGTTTCCTACATTTCGTATTTCATTTTATATCACGAGTTTTAAATAACTGAACCGCCAGGTTGTTGACTTTTATCCAATCCATTTGGCTTTCATTACAACTTTTTCTGTTATTGGCGCTAATGTAAAGTGTTAATAATTGAATTGTTTAATAAATGAGTGATGATTTGGTTGACAGTAGTGAAGCTATTGAAAATACCTGTGTTATAGTGCCGAGTTCAACCTGAATTATCATTGAGAGTATCTGTTGTTGAGGCAGTTATATTATTATTACTATCCATTCATAGAAATATGGCTCCAGATTAGCACGAATCAATAGCTTACTGCATAGATAATTACAATTCAAAAGCAAGGCAAAATCGTCTGATGTGTAAACAATTCGGTATTTTCGAGCAGTTGAGTATTTTACTAGTCTGTGTACCATGCCAACCCCAGACAGTACCAATAGGTATGTGATAATTACAGTGTTCCAACTGATAATTTCAATGTTTTTGTAAGATAATTATTATTTTCGCGTTGTCTTCTCCCTCCCAGGGATTTTTGCCATGCGGTAGGTCCCAACCAACCGCAGTGACATTCAAAACGAAACGTAACAAAAATCAAAAAGCCGAAAAAAAAATAATGTGATTTTTAACGACACTTTTGTGCGAACGCGTTTCTGGTTCTTTCCATTTGCGGCATTGGCTGGACGGAATGATAATGTCTTCTAACACAGTGTTACGTTTATGTTTTTTCGTGGCTTTGAGTATCGTTCCTTCAATGGCTCTTTTAAAACTTAAACTAGGATTCCTAGCTCCGTGGACAAACACTGAAATAGTGAACGATTTTAGTGGCGCGACAAGTGCAGGGGCCATAAACATCGCCATTGATAGAATTAAGGAGATGGATCTAGTCGAAGATCTCGAATTCGAGTAAGTAAATTTCTTTTATGTTTCGTGTTTATACAAGATATGTTCATATTTAATTCGTCTGCAAGTAACTAATGCATGGCATATATATACAAATAGTTTTCCACTGACATAGAGATATTTATTCCTGATCGTTACGTCATTTTCGAAAGCTAGTTCAAGTAGAAAAGAGTAGATAGATTGATTGGATTTGAACTTGATATTGCAAGTTTGCATTTCGCTTTGTGCATTCACTATCCAGTGAAAAGTGCCAAACCACGTGTGTGATTTATAAATATTGTGTTGCCTTTAAGGGATTTGAATAGAGTTGTGTCGTCTGCAAAAAGAGGAAATTGGTTAATGGATTAACAAATTTATAATACAAAATTGGAAATAAAATAGGACCCAAAATCTACCCTTGTAGAACATCGGATTTATTTGTTTATAGGAAGACAATGTTTTAATATTACCAGTAACTGATTGTTGCCGATTTCCAACCCACTGTGTTTTTTTAAAGTCAATAACATTTCGAACGTGATGCAACCATTAAAAGTGTATTTGCAATACTTGATATATAGCTATAGAAAGTTTAGTATTATATTGTTTGCGAAAACCAAATTGTGTGATTGATAGTGTCTACGTTTATGACGAAATCAACGAGTTGTTTATTTACAACTGATTCGAATACTTGCCGGTCTTCGCTGGTAACCTTTTCCGGGAAACACACCTTAGCTTAATAAATAATTGATGATATAGGCTATAATTGTGGGACGAATAAGGTCGAGTCCGGCGGGTCCTTAGCGTCTATTGATTTGACGAAAAATGTGTTTCTCACAAACCAGGTTAAAAGGATTTATTTTGATTTCCAGTTAGACATTGCTTAAACTCGCCAGTATTCGATATACCGGCGGTAAGATTTAGACCAAGATTATCAAAATAATCAGTATCCCCCATATCAATACTGCTTATATCATTTGAGTAATATAGCTTTTTGTCCAACATGAGCAGACAGTTTGGAACATTTTTGTATTGTTTATATTTTATTACACTTCGACAATTATTTGGGTTAATCAATAATAAACCTTTGGTATTACAGAATTGTAACTCGTGATTCGTCATGTGACAGCAAACAGGCTGCCGGGTACACAGTCGATATGCACCTCAAAGAGCACGTTGACGTAATCATTGGGCCACCATGCTCGTCTGGTGAGTATAAATGGAGTATAATCCATACAGAAATGCCATGAAAATAACATGTTTGAACTTTGCCTATAGATTGTACCAAAATATTCAGATATCATGTGTAATAACCCGAACAGTTTGAAATGGTGCACTTCCAGTACATGGACGGCGTTGTTGTTTAACACGGTGAAACATCTCCAGAAATGTAATCGTTTTATGCGAGGGATTGCCCATATTTTAACCCAGAGTATTTGTTTTCAGTCAGTTTGAACAGCGTCGACACTCAAGTCACATATTGCACCATCCCATTAAACTCACACATGAACTCTCAATCCACTTCAATATTTACATTAGTCTTAATTTGTGTAAGTCGATAAACTGCCGAACTGTGCTCACGCTGCCAAACACTGCTTCTTAAACACTACAAGGTGTACGACTTCGCGCCTGCCCGCTACAGATATACTATTTGTATTGTTATTCCATACTTGTACACTTGTTCAGACACATACTAAATGGATACACTCTCCATAGTGTGACTGCATTGTATAATCCTCAGCCATATATCCCACACTTTCTGAATCTATACTCAATCATATACTGTGAAATACTTTTTATTTTCGCTTGGAATTAATTTTCGCTATTTTCGCTGAAGGAGGGACTCAGTGAAAATAAAATCCAGCGAATATACCTGTTGTCATATATTTTATATTAAACTCGCCAAAACTCAGTGAAAATAAATTCCATACAACACACCCAAAACATCTTTTCGGCGAAAATGAATTCCAGTATTTTACAGTACTAGAATTCTATGTTCGCCATGCTATAACTGTATACTCGTCATTCTCTTACATTACTCTAAACTTTCAACAACTGACTTTAAAAGGCGATGGTCTTCGCGCAGCCCGAGTTCGAAATTCATGTAAACAAACAATGTATTTCACACGCGTATGTATGAGTGCCATATCGAACACGGCATGGTGTGATCACTGCCCTCTAACCATGTACTCTCCAAATCTTCGACTCAATACTATTCATACTCCTCATCACAGTGTTGTCCAATACTTCCTTATATTTCAGCCTGTATGATATCTGGACAGTTGGCAGCATTTTGGAACATTCCAATCATATCATGGGTAGCTACATCACCAGACTTCGATGATAAAAACATCTACAGCACCCTCGGACGTTCACTCGGACCATTCACTAAACTTGGGATGTTTCTGATGGAAATAATGGCTAGCTATAATTGGAATCGTGCTGTCATTGTATATTCTACATTTTTATTGTACGGGGATGCTGGTAAAGCAATTGAGAAGGTAAGAAGATGTGCAATATATCATCACGTACTTACGTACTTATCACCACGCCGCCTATTCTATCCTTTTTTTCATAATATATTAAATATAATGGTTCTTCAATTTTTCAGACATTCAATGACAACAATGTGACTTTGTCGTACGTTGCAATATACAACAGTAATCCCACTAGGAAGAAAATTCAATCAATACTTCGAAAAATTAAGAGAGAAGGGAGAAGTAAGTAATTTAAATACCAATGTGTTAGCTCCTTTCCAACGCCAGTTTTCTTAGAGCATTATAGAGCATTATAGAGTTTGATAAATTAATTCTCTTACTCCCACGTTGATTTCTCGTGTATTCTCTTTCCGAATTATACATTTTTCATTTAACGCCATGCCTGCCAATTGGATGATTGCTTTGTGCATGGTTAATCCCCATGATTCATAATTCCCAACGTAAGCAGGTTATTTTTAGCATTCTCAGGTATATTGTTTAGCCAATTTACAATTTAAACTAATTTCAGTTGCCAAATGAATATTCAGTCGACTTGTTAAGTAATGACAAAATTATTATAAGTGAAATAATTGTATGTATATTTTGTTATCATTTGTGGAAGCTAAATAGTAAGGTTATTTTATACATATTACAGTCATTGTCGTCTGCGTGCCGCAAGAAGATCGCCGAATGTTATTACTGGAAGCCTATGATATGGGGATGACAAAAGGTGACTATGTATTCTACACTGTTGAGATGTTACCAGGTGACGACGTCATCACTGCACAAGAAACCTACCTTGGCATTGACCGAAACGAGGAAGCTCGAGAGGCATTTGAAGCAGTATTTCATGTGAGTATAATAGATCATTTATCAATATTCCGTAAATTCAATCATTGTATTAAAACAGACATACTATGTGAAACAAATACACTTTCTGTTAATGTAAAATCTACTTAGTACCAATCAGACTGCTCCATGTCAGGTCTTTATAAATGTTATATATGTCCTGGACTCTTGTCTGACACGTGTTTTTGGTATGACCACGTCAGTATTTTTGTTCCCATAAGTGGTCCTGTGACTGTAATATTGACAGTATTGATCTCATGACATCATCGTCAGAATTTGAAACATAAATTAACCTTATTAAATTTAACATGTATCTACTAGATGTCACTTGCAGCACTGACAGGAGCAGATGTCGACATGTTCACGAAAGAAGTTGCCAGACGTGCACAGGATCCTCCATGGGGGCTTACATTACCGGCAGGAATACAGGTAAAAACAACTACAAATTACGTAACATGAATGTCAGAAAAACATAGTACGTTTGTTTATTTCGAATGAATGCGACCCTGCTGAAATATGTAAATTTATTAGTTTAAAAATTCTCTAATATGTACTGTGTCATTAACAATTTCTCTCACCATATAGGGAAATAAATACTCTGCATTTTTATACGATGCTATGATATTGTATGCTCTAGCTCTGAATGACACATTATCAACAGGTGGTAAATATAACGATGGTCAACAACTGTTACAAGCAATGTCTTACAAGACATTCAGAGGTAGACACATGCATAAATAACACACCTATTAACATATATATATCATGGTATAACTTTAAAATATACCATGTAGGTATGTGTCGTTTAAATATCATTCTCGCGTTTGTCGTAGCTTTCGTTCGCGCGGTTTCATATCCGATCAGAAATCCGTTGAAGCACCTTGTTGGATCACTATACCCCAACATTTCAAAAACTACAATGAAGAATATTACATAAATGACCGTATACATAAAGAAATATGGGTATATTGCCCAGGACGCTTACATGTTATAAACCAGTCTGAGTAGTTCATGAAGTTTCTGGAATGCCTCCTATGACACCTTCCTAGTTGTCCAGATAAGGTACGGATTCGGGTGTCTTGTTCAGTTCAGAAAAAATGGTTAGGCTTCTAACACAAACAAAGCTAGCCTGACGTATTTTAGTAAAAAACAACAAAATAAATTTTAATAGATTAGAATTATTTGTTATCGTTTATGGTTCTTTTCTTTATTGCAAATAGTAAAAGTACAACTTCGGATTTGTTACTACACATAGTTTGTGATATCGATGTGAACCTTGTCGAACATCTTACATAAATCTGACTGGAGGCATAATCCAACTAGGTACAAGTTGACACCACCTAAATAAATCCGAGTCCGAGAGAACGCGTGAAACACGGCGAACAATATGCACAGATGATTAAAGATGCGCCAAAGTGCGTCTTTTCTTGCGGTGCATGCATCCAGTCATAATGACACTAAACAATCAATGTAACAACAGGACCTAATACTCAGTGACGTCATTTAGCGACTGCGGTATAGCGAGAATACATAACATCCACCCATATTTATGACTTGCGACATTATTTTATATGACATATCTTTGTTTTTTTAAAGGGCGATAAATATTCAGCGTTTCTTTATGACGCCATTATTCTTTATGCACTGGCACTCAATGATTCTTTATCCAAGGGAAAGGATCATACAAACGGAGTAGATCTCCTTCAATCAATGTCAAATATGTTCTTTAAAGGTATGACCCAGACAGGGTTGTTATTTCGTATAATGTACTACTGTAATATAAATTTGCATGTTATAGTCGCCATTTTGGATTTGCGCAAATGAACAGGAGATGATACATAATTACGTTAGTTATACAGTGAAACAGCAAAAGCATGCCTATTCCTATTAATATAATTATGAAAATGAATAAACCCAACGATTTTTATTCGAAATCAATTGGATTGTCTATGCAAGTGTCTTCACAGACAGAAATAGAACAGACGGCATCACTATACGAGCTAATACAATGATTAATCACCATTTGAGTTTATAACGCTGACCCCGGTGTGATATGCTGGATTTTATTTTGCGATTAATTTTAGAAACACTAGAAAAAAACTAAGGCTTGATTTGGATTTGCATATGTTCATTCAAACCATTTTGTGCGAGAAAAGTTTGCGTGGGATCCACTGATTTGATTCATACCTGAATTCGTCTAGATGCAGCACTATGTTTATAAACACACATTACTTTTATAACTAAAGGTATGACTGGAATGGTCATGACGGATGCTTACGGTGACAGAGAACCAGATTATTGGATTACTGATTTACAGCCTAATGGAGTTTTTGAGAAAATAAGTGAAGTTGTTAATTTAGAAGACGGTACTCGGGTGAGAAACAATATAGTTCATATTACTATGAAACCGACATAGGTTGTCACGGGCCTGTTAGTTTACAATTAACTTGCTAGTAGCCAATTAATTATAAGAATTGTACTCATCTCATATTACATGCGGAGCACCTTGAGAAATTTAACAACTTACAGGATTTAAGTTTTCATGAAATACATAGATTACTTGGTTATATACTTACATTTGTCACTTTATTGGGTTTCTATAAATTTATCTTAAAAATCTTATTAAATCTTATAAAAATGAATCATACGGGACATCTATTTTATTTCTCTACCAGTATGTAAATTATAATTCATTAGCCAAATTCTCCTCTTGCCATGTGTTATGCATGAGAAGTGGGCGTTTATATTAACAATTCAATTTAGTCAACACTTAATAATACCTAACACACATATAGATTAAATCAGACCATTGCTATCTTTATTATCAGTGTTTTATGTGCAAGAAGATTTAAATATGTCTAATCATAAAAGCTTCAAGACGATCTCATCCACTAAAGAAATACAGTGTTGAACCGTATTACTTATATCATCTTCATGCTTATAGTGTGGGTGAATACACTCTGTAAGAAACTCAGTGATTGTGTGGTGAACGAGCATTCAGATCTGAGCAAATAGAATCCAAATGATTAGTAACTGAAATAAGATAAATTATAAATAAAACACACAAAAATTTGTATATCGTATTTCAATCAGATTGATAGACATCTTTTCATATAACATTGACTTACTAAAGGTACTTTTGTTTATAGGAATTTCGACAACTGGGTGAGCCTCGTTGGCCAGGTGGAAAGGTAGGACACCAATACGCACCGCCTGATGTACCTGTGTGTGGATTTAATGGAGAATTCTGTAAGGAAGATGATAGTAAGTAACTAGGAATATTGTAGCATTTGACCAAATATGCATTTTTTTTATTTCAAGTAAATTGAAATTGAAAAAAAGTAATTATTGATTAATGTTTTTTTGCAGATGCCTATATTTACATTGTAGGTTTTAGTGCAGGTGTCATTATCATTGTCATGGCAACGCTTCTATTTGTCTGGTTATACAGGTTAGTGAGATTTTGTGTGTAGTGTATTGTGGTGAGAACATCGGTCCAAGGGTTCGAACAAAAAAGTCCCACCTTAGCCATACGTGACCATTATTTAACTTCTATCAAGTATGAAACATGAATTTAAAATATGTAATCTCAATTATTGGGCATTGGCTTTTCCTGTAGCGTTGGCGTTAAACAGTGACACTATACACTTTGATATTTGACTGCTACAACAAGTCAATTAACGATCCGAAGAAGTCATCTTACGATGTTCCATGTATACATGATTACATTGTAGATTTATAGCTATTGCATATATTACCAGTTTAAATAGCGTCTGGACATCCAAGATGCCATGGACAGTTAACACAACAAAGTTTTTTAAAGTGGTTACGACAACTATAACTATTTACTCATGTACATTATTGTTTTTAAAGACGAAGTAATTACGAAGCAGATTTATTGAACATGAGATGGAAAATTCATTTGGAAGATCTGCACTTCACTGGAGGCGGATCGCAGAAAATGAAGTCAGGGAGCATGGGTGGCGGTAGCGCCGGTAGTCACGTACGTACATTACAATAACAAACTCTACTGCGGAGGCTATATGCTCATAGCATAAATAAATATATTACTTATAAATCAGTTTGGACTTGAAGGTACCCTGAGAATGCAAATCTCCGTCACAGCGGCAAATTACATTAAAACGCGGTAGTCGTCGCGCTGCGCAAGTGCGAGATATATGGGTCTCATATAAACAAAGATGGCGACATTGACTGTTGCGCAGTACGAATTGAGACGTTTCCAAGCTTAAATTAGGTAATTTTCATGTTATTTGAAGGTATCGAAGGAGTCACCGGCGGTAATCAGTGCAAGTCGCGCCCAGGTCAAACCTCATACTTGTGATTTCCATTTGAAGAGCGCATTGGATTGTGAGAAAATAAATGTTATCAACACGACTACCGCGCTTTAAAAGTGCAATTCAGCATGCTTGAACTAAATTCTTTGTATTTATTCGTTCACAGCCAAGTTTGAATAGCGGCGGCGATATTTTGTCGAAGCATTCTTCCAATTTGTCTCATAGTTTAGATGGAAAGAGTTCAGCGCCGTCTAATCGCACACTCCAATACTTTGCCAAGACAGCTACTTATAGAGGCGTGGTAGTTGCTTTGAAGAAAATCAACAAAGAGCACTTGCAAATCAACCGCAATGTTCTCATGGAATTCAATGACGTGAGTGAAGTTCATATTTTTATTAAAATAAATTCCAATATATGCCGCCTACCATAAATCTGGAGTTTCGAATCCAATCAGTGTATCATAACTCAAATTATTCACATCCGACGTTGGAAATCCACCACGTGAAAATTCAAGTTTTGAACTTAAAGGTGTATTTAAAGTAAAATATTACGATTTGAAGCATTGTAAAATTATATTTTATTTGGCAATTAAATACCGCGATTCTGCAGGCGAGCATTTATAATGTTTCATAATAACCGAAATAATCAATGTGAGTTTTTTGTATATAATACACAGTGGGAATGCAACTATTAGAAAATGCAAGGATGGAGCGTCACGTATCCTATACACAGAGGAGTTGTACAACAAGTTCATTCAATATAATCTTCATACATACCTATGTTTCTCTTTACATTTACTTTTATTCTAGGTGAGGCAACTCAGCCACGAAAATTTGAACCAGTTCATTGGTGCCTGCGTAGAATCTAATACCATCTTCCTGGGATGGCAATATTGTGATAGAGGCAGTATTGTGGTGAGATAAACGAGTGGCATGTGGAATTACATGGGAACGGCTTTTCTAACACAAGAGGTCACCAATGTGTATTATATTTGCAAGATCGTTTCAATCTGATTTTAATATAGAGTAGTCGTATTTGTACAAATGCATTAAAAATACCTTGTATTATATGACATTATGATACTCAGAATATTTGCCATTCATGTGTTGCTTGGAGTGCGTAACATTTGGTAAATATCTTACAGGATGTTCTTCAAAATGATGAAATACGCCTTGATGACGCATTCAAGTTGTCTTTCATAACAGACATTGTCAAGGTTAGTATTATTTAAAAGGCATATGATTTAATAATTGAAATATGATTTAATAATTTGAAATCAATTCACGCCTTGTTTTGTGTTCTGGGATATTTATTCTGTAAATTTCAATTATAGAGCAGACTTTAATAAAATAAACCATGTGCGCTGCATTTGTTTTGTTGGATGTACAAACAAAATAAAAATGAGGTTTATTATTTGCATTTCCTAATGACGATTGCTACTTCAGGCCGAGATATAAACAATAAACCGAAGATGGTAATACATTTATAAGTATAAATTCTACATATGTGATTTTAAAATAATTACTCCTCGATAGGGTATGGAGTATCTACACAAGAGTCAACATGGCGGTGGTTCCCATGGCAACCTGAAATCGTCAAACTGTTTAGTGGATAATCGTTGGGTTGTCAAGATTACAGACTATGGACTCCAGACATTTTTCTCGGGGCAGACTGAGAACGAGAATACTGACGACAATGACAAGTTTTTACGTAAGTACAGGTACTTTTACCCCTTTCGCTGATATTTATGTATGTACCTGAAATAATTCAAGTTCCAGTCATGACTCACCCAGCTGATAATTCGCCATGTTCAAGTTAATACGATATATTAAATAAATAAAAGAATAAAAGTGATACATGATATTTGAATATGTTAATTACAACTACTACAAAATACTTTGTGACACTATCAGTTTAAGTTCTTAGAAATACTTCACGTCACGTCTCTGAAAAAAAATTATGTTAAGAACAAGTTTTTTTGACATTGCATGCGTTAAATTCCGGGTTTTACATACATTATTGTTGCTGTTTTATTGAAACGTTGTACGATAATTATTCGTAACGCTTAATATGAATATTTTTAACACTTGAATACTGTGAGCACACTAATTTAATTTGAAAATATCCGAATACTTATAGGTAAACTCTGGACAGCTCCGGAAATCCTACGTATGAATTTTCCTCCAGCGTGTGGGACACAAAAAGGAGACGTCTACAGTTTTGCTGTGATAATATTCGAGATTTTGGAACGAACTGGACCTTACTGCTTCGACCATATAACACCAAGAGGTGAACATTAAAGCGGAAGAGCCGTCACCAGTGTACATGCGAAAATTGGGTTCTTAGCGATGATAACAGGGCACGCTAAAATGCAAAGGCTCATGGGTAGACGCTATGACCACCAGTCGCATGCGCAGGTGACGGCTCCACCGCTTTAACCAAATACACCATGTGTACCATCAGCACTTATAAATGTAATTTAACATAACAAAGGTCAGGAGATAGCGAGTTTTTGATATACATTTCCTACGGCCCGTCTTGATTTATGTGGAGTTGTCTCTTGACAACATTACGTAATTAATCTTGTATTGAAAGACAATTGGCCGATGGCCTGACTAAATTATAATGAGCCACCCATTGGATTCATAACGCTGAGACAGTGGAGTAACCAAGAGTATGGCTCATCGATATGAAAATCGCCGTTTTGAAAAAAAACACTAGCTCTAAGTAGGGAGGAGGTCGCACTCTTTACTTCGGTTTTGAAAGTACAACTTAGTCGGATTACTAGTATATGCGTTCCCGACCAATACACGGTAATTAATTGTTTTCAACAAAGGAACCGTTCTGTACTAGTAAGAGCGGGCGGGAGAACTAAATAAAACTAAACGCTATCGAATAATACACTCAGAACAATGAGGATGAGACAAATAATACTGTTCATAATGTCAAATAAATTCAGCATTACAATACTATTCATATTTCAGATGTAGTAAATCGTATTCGTAATGGCGAAAGCAGTCCTTATCGACCAGTGATAATGCTACACAATCCCGATAGTTGCGAATATGGTCGTGAATTGATTAATCTAATGGTGAAATGTTGGTCTGAAAATGTAGATAATAGACCATTGTTTCCCCGGATTAGACTCGAAATAAGAGCTTTGTGTAAAGGAAAAGAGTAAGTAAATTGTTTGATAAAATATTCAATAATGAAACAGTTGGTACTATTAATTCTTTTTAATCATACTATGGTAAGCCAATGTATATTAATCTTTCACTTTTTGCTTAATAAGGATCAGTATCATGGATAACATACTGAATATGATGGAGAAATATGCCAACAACCTTGAAGAAATTGTTGAACAACGAACTGGTCAAGTGTTAGAAGAAAAACAAAAGACAGATCAACTATTATATCGGATGTTGCCAGTGTTAGTATAAGCATCAATGACATCAAATAATGTGAATCGGCAATGTAACTGTTGCATTGGGTGAATTATACGGACGTGTATGTTATGAATGCCTCGACAAATGTAATGACATTGGGATGTACTAATTTAAAAGGATTCACCGTGACTAGGGAATCAAATAGTGTTGCTCACAAACTATTTTTTTTTTTATAAATAATTAGCACACTAAGATGAGATAAATTACTGGCATTATATACTATATTGTATTGAATTATTTCAAGGTTTTGGTTGTAGATTATTGATTTAAACAAAATTATTTTCAAAGAGTAATGAGGAACAATTTAGTAAGTAAAAGGAGGAGGAATGCTACTAACTGTGATTAGCGTTAAACCACAAATTCTGCGGCCATGTTGAATTGACAGTAGTCAAAATACACAGAATTAGCGTTTATATAATTTTAAATAAAACTAGTTTGGTTTTTCCAGTTTTTTTTTTGGAACTTTCAAATAGCGCGTTGCCGGAAAGAATTAAACTTTAGAAAATATGTTAACTGCACCCAACCTTAACATTCTTTTTCAACCAATCATTTTTTTTATGTGTATGCCTCGTGAGATATATTTCTATTAATCTTGGTGGAGAATTCAGAAATAAGTAAATCCACTACGAGTAAATGTTAAACGGGTGGTGATATGGGAGAAATATTAAATATACCATTTATGTTTGTTAATCTTGATTATCAGAACGGTGGCGGAAGCTCTGAAGCTTGGACAAAATGTACCCCCTGAAGATTACGAATCGTGTACAATATACTTTTCAGACATTGATGGATTTGCAGAATTGTCTGCAGAAAGTTCTCCAATACAGGTGATTATTTGAATTGAATTATTATTGTTAACGAATATGACAAATAATGTATTATTCACCAAACTATACATTTAAACACCTTGTAAATACGCTTATTTTGTTTCAGATTGTTGATTTTTTGAATGACTTATATAGTTGTTTTGATGAAATCATAGGAAACCATGACGTGTATAAGGTAGGTGACTTTCAATTTCACGTAAAATCGATACATTTCGGCATTTTGCAGGCCCATTGACCGTTTTACTGGCCATTTTACTGCATACACAATTTTCAAAAACCATAGAGTACCTTCTTCTTTTTAAAATTAGGTTGAAACCATTGGTGATGCTTATATGATCGTATCTGGCCTACCACATCGAAATGGTAACCGCCATCTAACAGAAATAGCCAATTGTTCTTTGGATCTGCTCAGCTCCGCCACCTCTTTTCAAATACGTCATCGCCCAAGCCAGAAACTGCAGTTGCGCATAGGCTTACATACGGGTCCTGTAGTGGCTGGTGTCGTGGGGTTGGTTATGCCTCGATATTGTTTGTTCGGGGATACAGTGAATATAACTTCACGAATGGAGTCAACGGGAAAACGTAAGGCTTTGTTTCAGTTACAAATTGTAGTACAGCGTGCATTACACTGCAACAGTTGAAACATTTGCATTCAAAATACTATGGGTAATACCACAAACACCATTTAACAACTACATATTAATGCAATTATTTTATTAATTACAGCACTTCATATTCATGTGAGCAAACAATTGTATACATCCCTGAGAGACATTAATGAAGAATATCATCTGGCGAGACGAGGAGATATAAATGTTAAGGTGATGTCATCTTCCTATTAACATTTGATGTTTACTCTTTATTTTAATAAAATATTTTCATGTTATTTACTATACAAAAATTGTAATATATTAATGCAGGGCAAAGGAGTAGTGCCGACATATTACTTATACGGAAAAGATGGCTATAAAAAGCCTCTGCCTAACCTTTCAAAGTAAGTTACTTTTATTATAATTATGAAATACATACGTTCAAAAGTACGTTTAGCATGTTTAGCAAAATTAAGCCCAACATTCCAATGTTTTATTCATTGAAAAACTAAATTATATTTTTTGGATTGCAAACTATTTGGAATTCCCGTATTTAGAATTTGTTGACAGATATTCTAAACATAACACTACTTTTTGGAGAACAGAATATAAAATTAACCGATTTGGACAACATGAATATCATCACAATGCACGCGTGAACACTACAGACTATATAACGTTTTGAAAATAAAATACGATATTACAGTTAAAGGTGATTGCAAAGATTTGAGATATATGATCACTCATATACGTTTTACTCCCAATGAATGGATTTTGTTTTGATTACAGTGCTAGCAAATTGAGTGGAAAACCTAATGGTGAACGGTAAGACACGTTACACTTCTTAATGTTACGTGAAATTGAATGTCCTATTTAAGACAAATAAATTCACTGCGATACTTAGAAAATATTGAACTATGACTATGTTGATGACCAGGTGTGGACTGTCAAAGATCACAATTTAAAAAGTATTCATAAATGGTGCATAATTAATAAATCGCTTAAACATTTCAGGCCATTATTTAATATTCATTATTCCACAGTAATGCGACATACTCAAATTTCACAATGCTTCAGCAATGTATTAATATTAGAAAATCATTAATATTACCTTTTTGTTTTGATTTCTAAAATACACAACGAACGTTATTTCACTTCACTATATTATTATATACTGTTTACATATTTGTCATGACGGGTCCACTTACTACGGCATTTTCGTTCTTACCTTTCGCAGGATGCATGCTGCTGAAGCAGGAGGCGATTATGAAAAATCTTGAGCATGATGAAGGTATCTACTTTGACTACTTTCCAGGAGCTTGTTAATCGAAGATGTGCATACGATTCAACTTAAAAGAATGTAGTAGTAATGTAGTAGAAACAATTTGATAAATAGTTTGTAATTATTACCTTATCTAAACACTGTAAATGCCTTGTTACTTTGAAATAGAAATAACATTTTCAAATGTAGATACGTTACATATTATGTATATACGAATTTACTAGTCCAAGAATAATCTAAGAATGATCTACGAAGGGGAAAACAACTAGTCAAAACTTGCAACTGACATTATTTTTTAGAATCAATAAAGCGACACATATTTGAAAGCAATGTCTTGGATTAGCTGTATTTACATATAAATATTCTGATATATATATATATATTCTGATATAGATTACTATGTTTCTAGCTTTCACAACTTGTCTTTAAATACTATTACATCAAGTGATCATCATTCGAATAAGTAATGTCCGCTGTATTCCCGTTAAAAGTAAACAACATCAAGAAGAAGTGCTAGTGTACGTACTATGGTGAATTGAAAACAATGTCTGAAAGCATTTTACGCATGTAACCGAAAATCGTGGCTAGTGACGAGGCTATTGTGATGAACCCCACGTTTGAACAAAATTATACTTTTTAGCAATAAATTGACCAGGATCATACATAATGTGTACCATATGTTCACAGCTAATTAAAAGACTGTGTCTCATCCACACAGTTAGATAAATAATTACAATAGCAATATTCGAGATGAATATAATAATTTTCTAATACTGTGGCTTCGATCTCTTTGCATCTTGTGTTAATTCTAAATTGTTATAGTATCTTATTAATATCACTTTGAATGATATGTTTCAAGTGCCTTGCGACAGTAATTGTACATTGTATTCAATGCTATCTCACTGTAAGAGCAACGACTTTCAACGAATAGCTCAAAACATAACTTGCAAAATATAAAAATGTTAAATATATGATTAAGTTATTGGTGTGTTGTCACAAGCGAAATGTAAATATTATCCATGTACGCATATCCAGCGTTATGTTATGTTATGTTATGTTTTATGTTATGTTATGTTATGTTATGTTATGTTATGTTATGTTATGTTATGTTATGTTATGTTATGTTATGTTATGTTATGTTTTTCAAATGCTTGTTCTGATTGTGCAGTATAGGCAATGCAACTAACAAATACAAACTATGGACTTTTAGGGGATTTTTTCACTTGTAAATATTGAATGAATCATTAAATTTGAAAACATTTTCTCGTCTAAAAATGGACAGTCAAATAAAAGTTCATGTTAATGTGTTTAATATAATATAATATAATATAATGTATTTGATGTGTTGTTTGAGAAATTAAATTGTTCGTTGTAAAGTAAAATTGAATCTAGTTGCGTGAATATGTCTTGTTAATATGAGTATGAAACATATGTATCTCATTCAATTCAACACTATGATCTACTGGAAATGGAATTACAATACACATTAATTAAATCCTTGACGAATAGAAGCAATTGCATAATAATCGAGAATAATAAATCATTTAATATCCCATATTTGAAGGGTATATTGTCATGTCATGGTAACTATGGATGCAGGTATACAACCCCCCTGTTCTTAACATACCCAACCAGAAACCCCTAGACAAAAGTCGACAACAACTAGCAAGTACACCAGACAATAGTTGTTTGTGAAAAAAATCAAAAGATCTATTTGGTGAAACTATTAGCTGCTCATAAATTGGGTATTGTGCAAATGGTAAGAGATTATTAGCTGAACACCTGACCTGATAAATTATGATCATATAAATTACCAGGGATATATTACAGATACGGATTTGCTACTAAGTGAATATTTGGATAAACAGTCAGCTGGTCAACTGACCTTATTATTTATGCAAAAACTGGATATTGTGAAAATACATATTAAAGTCCTTCCGTTTAGTATAGTGATGGCCAGAGGATCAGTTTGTCAATTTACATATTATAGTGAACGATAATAATTATATAAATATATATCAGTAATTTTAATGAAATTGAAGTACAATATTCTTAGTATTATTGACACTTGTTGTTTGGTATGATGGATCCCCACAATTGGGTACAAGAGCATAGAAGTTTAGAATTAAAATTTTTATTCAGAAGAAACATGAAATCATTAAAAGTGGCCTTATAAAGAGCCATTCAATTCATAGTGGGGCAGTGGGCGGAGTATACGGTGCTTATTTTTATTAGTGTCTGACCACAGAGTTTGCCGTTCACCATGTCTATTTCCATATAAATAAAAGCTCCAGCCAATATCAGATTTGACTACCTGTTCTAAGGTATGACACTTGAAAATGAGTCTTGTGACATGTGGCAATAGTCCAATTGTATTGGGTAATAAGATTGGATACATTTAACTAGAAACAGATAAACCAGTATACCCGTATGTATGAAGCCAGTGAATGTTATTCAAGCCAAAGAAACTGCATCTATTTATATAAATACACATGGACAGAAAATATTTACTTGGAGCACTAAATTTGACAATCTCCCTACTGTCTGTGTTGATTTGGTGGGTTAAACCCACTCTAAATATGCCACACCAGCCACATAGCTCCCGACATGGAGATGGGTATTCAAGAAAAACATTGACTGCAAAGGTCTGAATTGTTGTCAATAGCAACAAACACATTGGAAAAGTCAAATACAGTGAAAACAAAACAAAACACACAGGTATATAAATACTAACTTACTTGGATCTTTATTTGCTCCTAGTAATCCAGAGTAGAACGAGATGAATCAAGGCTGTATAGTTTGGCATCTTTATTTCAATATTGGAGGCAACCATTATCTTATGGCGGACACACCTATGTCTAAGTTACAGAGAAACATTATTTTGATTTTTCAGTGGACCAATAAATGCATTTGACAGAATAATATAAAAACTCTATCAGAACAGAAATTGAAACAGCTTGCTGATTAAAAAGTATCACATTTTGTCCTGCTTATTTGAAACCGAATTGAATACATAACAGACCAATTCTATCACACCTTGCTAGGCTCGAACTTCCATCCAATCAGAGCATTCCAAATAAAGATGCTAGAGGGCGCATATATATAATATAATTATGTATTATATATATAATGCTTAAATTGGGTAAACGTGTCATCTGTTATTTCTATGAATGTTCAAATGTATTTTACTACATTTCCTACCCATTTCCTGTCCAACACATTACATGTATGTTTGCACTTATCCCTCGATAATGTTTATACATCATATCTATACTTGCTTGGATCTGTATTTTATGTTCTGTATTCTGAATCTTTATTGTTAATTGTTTCGCTTCATATATCTTATACTCTGTGTTGTATTAAGTATCCATACTAACTATTCTGATGTATATACTGAATATTCAATGAAGTACTGACTGTGATCGTTATCACTGACCATTATCTTAAAGGAATACATTAATCTTTTTTATCCAGTATTTGTTTCTCATTGTTATTTAATGTTGTGCTCTACATGTGGGAGCGTATAATGCCAAGATATGATTAAAGACTCCAGTGTGGCCAAGCTGTACCATCTTAAAGACCATCTAAAACAGTCCATAAGCTAAACTTATGTTGGCTACCTTAACATTTGTTGATGTTTACAATATGGTTTAATTTTATGCAGTTAATCAGAAAATCTTGCAAAAATATTCACTATTGGTTTCTATGCTAAAAGTGTCATTATACATAAGTTGTGCTTGGTTACATAAGATGCATACTGCTGTCAAGCATTTATTATGAAATTCTGATGAATTATATTAATTCTTTTTTGAAATTTTACTTTGCTAAAACATATTTAGTAATGTGTCTCAATCAATAACTATGTGATATTTTTGAAACTAGAGATTGTGATATTAATCCCCCCACTTATTAGGTTAAATTGTTCATTGTAGTCCTGTCTTGGCTGACTAGATACCAGCCACTTGGATGAAATGATATACAGAACCTGTTGCTAAAATACATGATGAATATGGTGTGTCTGGTGTACCCAGTTAGCTTTTTTATTACATTCCAAGCTAGTACATCGACCTTATAGTGTCCTGTCTCTTTCTCATGTTTCATTGAAGGTTTTGAAGTTCATTTCCCTTGGGGGTTGGGAATGTCTTCGAATTACCCAGCTTATCTTGGGGTATGTTGGATAATTATACACAAGTATTGATTTCCACGCTTTCTGTGGGACTACATTCATCAATATTGTTCATCACCAGCTATTGTTGCCAGCTTACATGAACCTTTCGCATGAAATAACAAGATATAGCATGAGATTCAAAAGCTTTGTATTTTTAGTCAATTTGTGAGAGATTTGTCAATGAGAAGCATCGCCCACAATATCTATGGTCTATGGAACCATCTGCAACTTGATTCAGAATAGGGTCAGACAACAATTGAATACGGACAGCATTATCTAATGATATTCAGCCTCATTTACAACCTTAATTTAAATTTTGAGTAAAACAAGGTGTATTCTGTTTTTACTACTAGCACCCACAATGTGCAATATTAATTAAGTACGCTTATGTACACAATGGGGTCTATATATCTTTCGCTTACTGTTTTGACTATATTTTTAGAACACTTGTTTTGCTTTTGTGGGTTATCGAATGTTGTGGTAGTTTGTTTTGTGTTGTTCGACTTGTAAATTTCCCCATTCGACCTTTATAAAGAGATCCACGGTTTTATACAAAGACAATATTTGTGAAAGTCGAGCTACACGACTGCAAGACTGACAGTGAATTAACAAGTAGTTATTCAACTAACGGAAAGGATATATACACATATGTGCAAGCTCCGAGTAGAGAAAACTTGTATTTGGAATTACGAAATAATTTTGAAAAAAGACAAATTAAAAATTAATTGGTATAAACGTGTATGGCAGTATGTGCAGTTGTCATGACATAAAGCCTCTACTAGAGGTGACATCCCATGGAGCATTGCACCACAAATAATCACAGGGAGGTATCATTAGTGAGAATTACGAGAGTAATGACTGTTTTGGTTTGTCACACAGGAAGTAACGTTGCCACAAGGATGGTAAACATTATAGGAATATGTAAATTAAGCTCACATATAGTAACTCAACTTGTGCAATTTTAGTATTAACCAACTGTATGGTCATTCCACGATGACACTCTTCTGGTTGTTTGTCTTGAGTTTTCTCTCTGCACACCTAATCATTCCCGCATACTCGTTAGTTCATATAAAATTGGGTTTTATGGCACCATGGACGACAGGATTCGATTTATTAGACAACTTTAGTGGGACAACGAGCGCGGGGGCAATAAGTATAGCAATGGACAGGATAAAGGAAATGAACTTGGTTGAAGAACTTAATTTCGAGTAAGATTAATTAATTTTAAAACATTTCGACACACAAATTGTATCAGGTGGTGAGATTTATTTATTATGATCGAATACATTTCACCTTGTCCATGTAGGATCGTTTGGCGTGATTCAGAGTGCAGTAGTAAGCAGACGAGTGGTAGAATAGTTGAACTATATGCAGATGAACACGTTGATGTTATCATAGGACCACCATGTTCAAAAGGTATGTTACTAAATGCTGCTTTGTGAAGTGAAAATTTGCCAGTCATATAATTTAATAATTCTATGTCGAAAAACTGCTGATTTAAAACAATATTGTAATAACTGAACTAAATCATTCAAATGTGACATATCACATTTATTTTGCTAATGATGATTATTCTAGAACATCTAGTCTCCTAGTGTTTTGCATTGTGTTTTGAATTATTGCTTGAATTTGTTTACAGCATGTTTTTCAGCTGGACAACTTGCTTCATTCTGGAATATACCAATAATTTCCTGGGTAGCGACAGATCCCGAGTTCAATGACAAGACAAGATATACAACTCTAGGTCGGTCATTGGGTCCTTTCACCAAACTCGGTGTATTTCTAATGGAAGTAATGGAAGGTTATAATTGGAACAGAGTTGTTGTTATTGCATCTACATACCTCTTGTTTAAAGATGCTGCTACAGCTATTGTGAAGGTAAGATAAAAACAAGTTGTCCGTTCATGACACTGCGCATCATACTTAATATATTTTATAATATAAAGTAGCAACAGAGGAAATACTACTATAACAACATATACATCATCTGGACGGCAGTGCATGTGCGAATGGCATGTGAGTTGCACGTTATGTGCTGGACGACTGTTTTTTGATATTTTTTTTATTTGCCTCTGTTTTCTAGTCTAATGATAACCAAATAAGTGAAAACAACAATACTGACAATCAACGTGCAATTTTGACAGGTTTTTATACATTGTCACAAAAACAATGTAAAGCCGGAAACCTCGTAAAGTGTAAAACTACATTTAGATTTTGTTGACCCACAACATTGGTTATCCCTCAGACAAACATTGGCACGGTACTATGGTATTTGCTTATAGATAATGTATATATTGTTACATTAGCATGCTCAGTAATGTTTAACCCGCTTTTCTCATGTGGCTTCAATAAATATAATTGATCGCATTAAACTACTGAATGACAACGTATGTTGTACATCTGTTTACAATATCAACAATACGCATAACATCAACATAACAATAATCTACGAATCATGATTATATTACAGACTTTTCAAGAAAATAACGTCACCCTGGCATATTACGCTACGTACAATAACAACCCAACTAAGAAGTTTATACAGAAAATTTTGACAAAAACAAAGAAAGAAGGAAGAAGTAAGTAATGATTTAGTTCTATATTCCATTCACATATTTGAGGATCACATTTGTTAAAAAACGAATGCTAAAAGTAACATGGTCTTTTTAGAAAGTTTAAATATTATTTTAAATATTATTTTACAGTAGTGCATTGAGTTTATTCTAAATAACACAGAATCATAAACGCTACATATACAAACAAAACCGACCTCATGTCACCTCAATATTGTATTACAAAACAATCCAGTTCTGAGGGAAATAGCCAATTATCTCGTCTGTCAAACGTCGATCTGTTCACCATCTATTTGATGTTGATGTAGTTAGTAGCACTTATACTCCATAGACTGGGCGTATTGGTGCCCCGGAAGAACTGGAAATTAAGTGTACAACTGAACCTCAATTTGAGTTTTACTTTCGCCAAGCTTATGTATTACAGGATAGATATACATATTATATGCTACATACTAGTGTGATAACAAAATAGTGAATTAATAATCAATTAACCATATTTTTCGGAGAGACATTCCATCCACTCTGAATTATGGAATATACTTGTCGATATTGCAGAACATGTTGATCGTATGACGTTTTACTTCTTAGACATTGCCCATTGCAGGTTTGTGGTTCCTCGAAACCTTAAAATCACATTTTTATTTGTCAATATTCGCTCTTCCATTAGTAGAATTTATATTCAAAAATATCAAAACAGCATTGATGTACATATGATTTATTGTGTTTTAAGTGGATATCATTTTTTTCAGTTCACCAGATGGTGGGGGAAGTTTCAAACTTAAAGAGCTTCTAGAGTTGTTCAACCATTCTGTTTTATACGTATATAGGCATATTTCTCCAGAAAAGAATGTTTTTTTTCTGTTATCAGATAATGATGTCAGGAGTATGAAATACTTGAGTCGGCTTAACTACGTAGATGATAATCGCACTGTTCGTCACATTTGCTACATGATAGCAAAACACATTATCAACAATACCAGACGGTCAAGTGTAGATAAGCAAGATTTCAACATAGTGTGAAAGTTTCACATAACACAAAAATCTATAGCAGCTATCAAATGTTGGACTTTCCTGACCAACTGTAAAACACAAGGTGGGAGTGACTAAGTTGCATAATCTTTCAGCCAGTGTATACATTTTACAGACTCATTTCAAGGTAGTTACAACACATTATTACTACTGCTTGGCTTGTTATTATTGTTCTACTAGTCCAATAACCGTCGTTAACAAACAGTTTTCGTTCAGAATTTTGTTCCAAACAGTACCTGTTTACTAGAAAAGTAGTCCGTTTTTCCAAACAGTATATGTTTACCAGTTTTTTTGTTCTTAAGATTAAGTGTTTACTAGGGAAGAACTTTCTCGTAAAGAAGTGTTCAACAAAAATGTCTTTCTGCACTATTCCTCCCAAGCTGATTATGGTTTTCAGTTTGTATCGCTTATGATATTTTATCGATATGAAACCAATACTATCTAAATAAGAAAAAAATGTCATTATGCAAATTGCAAGATTACAAGGAAGTACATGACAAATTATTGCCAAATATGAGTGTCACACAATTATGATACATATGTATAATATATATATATATATAGACTTGTCAGGTCAAATCAATTACACTTTTTTATTGTGGTTCTGAAGTTTGTTAGATAGCAAGGTGACAACTTTGCTTAATGCTGGAGACATTTTGTTTCTAGTTCGGTAAGCTTTTCTGGTTGTCTATGTTACTTACACGAACTATGTACCATGTGAGCTTTCAGTGGTTATAAGTATACATTACACACTGTAGCCTTGCAGGCTACCACGTCTATATTTAAATAGAAAGTCCTCTAATTAGAGTGCTGAAAGAAACACTGGGTCAAATCCATGCTGAAGGAATCGTTTAAAAACAGGAAAAAACTGTTTTATGTCAGAAAAATCTCAATACAAGTCCACTTTTTATATAATACATACATCAACCAACTACAGATTCTGATAATTTCACTCCAGATTGGCTCTCATGCATATCCCATGCATCCATATTCAATTATCAAGATAATCAAGCTGCAGGTACACCGATGGAGTTCAATACCAGTGTGACTTAGTTAACATAAAATCTGCACATCGATGCATTTTGATGATGTAAAAATGACTCATTTCGTGGTACATCTGACAAAGACAGCAATACAAAAACACTGAATCTGCCCACCAAGAAGACAATAAAAGAATAAATACAAAATTAAGGCACAGACAACCAAATTGTTTGAAATTAGGATTTGTTTGAAATGATGAGATTAGGTACCTTAACAGACGCTATATTTGTAATCAACTCCTTCAAACCCCAGTATTGAACATTTTCACATAAATTAAAACTGTCAGTATTGTAATTATGTTTTTATGATAAATTATTGAAATTATTTCCTACGAGTTTTGCCATTAGGTTTGAAAGAATGTGAAGATTTTTTTTAAAATTATGGCCGAATCCACCACCACATATCTTTTTATTTTAAATTGTGTGTATCTATTCCTTACACAATGTACATTCTAACTGCTCAAAAGTATCGTACGTCATATAGTATTTAATTAATGGATATTTCAATTAATTAGGTGAAAGGCCTTATTAGAGTCAATGTATCGCAAGAACTTACAAGGTTGTATTTGATCACGCACTAGGGAGAAGAATGGTCCTATATTGCAATGTATTGCCCTAAGCCCTAAGCCATTATGATTTCCCCATTAGATAGTATGGGAAATGTGTTAAATATTGAAATTCTCATATCTTTGGAACTGTAAGAGTAGTGTGGTTATTTATTGAGTTACACATATTTCGATGAGGTTTTGTCGCACTTGGAAACATATGCAAATGCATGTTTCTATGCATGGTATCATTTCGCCACGTATTTGTGTCATGAATATCAGGAATGTTGTGGAATTATTTATTGTAGATGCACATTCACTGCTAATTGAATATTGTGCACACAAATAAAGATATCTGAATAAACTATTATCTGAACATGTTACCTTCAAATGCCAATATCTATTGCAAATATGTCTTTACTTCGAATAAAAATAATTTCATTTTGCGAATGTGTATAACCCTAGTAACCATTAAAATATCTAACACATCATGTTTCAACAATCTGTCACCCGGTCTTCGCGTTTTTGAATACACTCACTTTCAATAAATGGTTTTCTTACATATACAGATGTATTTCAAAATTCATGCAATTATCTTTTTACAGTTGTTGTTATTTGTGCCCCCAAACGGGATCGGCGCATGTTATTACTGGAAGCATACGATATGGGCATGACTACAGGAGAATACGTGTTTTACACAGTTGAAATGTTACCTGAACAAGATGTCATCACTGCTGAAGAAACATTTCTAGGAGATGATGGCCGTGACGAAGACGCTAGAAAAGCATTTGGAGCAGTATTCCATGTAAGTACATAAGATACCTGTCCACTGGAATGTGGCCGTATGAAAGGATGGCAGTTGATATAATTCGAGAGTGTTCGGGGCTCGCTGATAAGGTTTCTGCAAACTAAATATTCCCCATTTATGAACAGCAAATTTTAGTGTTTTAGTTTTTTAGGACAACATTGTTAAAACTGTCTTTTCTGGGAAGAGAAATGTAATTTATGGCATATTTTCACACTACCTTAGATGTCATTGGCTGCATTGACTGGAGAAGAAGTAGACCAATTCACCATAAACGTGACACGTCGTCTAGCAGGCCCACCATGGAATTTAACATTAAATAGTGAAATTAAGGTAAGATGTGTATAATTCATTATTATTTGACACATGTATTTTATTTTATACGACCACACTGTGTCATATTCATCGAACAGATCAATAACCACCCAGGGCTTACACTAGATATATGAACATTTTACTCATAATTTACATTTTATTCATAGTTACACATGATTTGTTATTGTAGGGGAATAAATATTCAGCTTTTTTACACGATGCTATAATACTATATGCCCTGGCGTTGAATGAAACACTGTCAAGAGGGTTTGATCATCGTGATGGTGAGGTGATGTTACAAGCAATGGCAGGAATGTTTTTTAAAGGTCAGTGGTTACCAATTGGTACAATAAGAACGACCCGTGATTATGTATAATAGTAATTTGTGATAATACTACGTTTAGTTTGCGAAATTTTTTTTTTATAAAAATGTGCTTCTGATGTCAAAGATACTTCACGAAATAGGTCCTGTGTCTGTACAATGTGTTAAGACAAATCATTGAGCAAAGCATGTGTGAATTAAAATTCATCATGGCGATTCGTCAAGTTTTCAGTTCTTTCGTACATAATAATTTTGTTAGTGTGTGTGGGGTATTACAATGTTAAATAGTTTTGTAACTAAATATTTTTCACAATGGATATCCTTATTGCCTGATCAGTGATAATTAACTGAGTTGTGGCTGGTTGGGCAGGCAGACAACAGCTATATACGATTACAGGTGGTAATAATTTGGTGTCAATAACTGTAAATACTATTCCTGCAATTCAGATATTTTCTAGATATTATCATATATTTGGTCACCTTAATACCTATTATAACTACTTAATTACATACCTTTCAAGTAATCCGAGATGGCACTTGATTTTTCATCTTGCTTAATGGTATTGTACTGGTTTCCTTTTTGATGACCGTAACAATTTTGTGTTTAGTTCGACAACTCGAATAGAAAGTAAAACCATCACACAAAATTGGAAGTCGATATTGAACTGATTAGCATCATAACAGAACATTGTAAATAACCAAACAATGATTCATATTATTCGCACACTGGTCTCATATAGACACAGACAGATACAAAGACACTGTTCTATAGACGTGAGAATGTCACAGTTTATATGTATAACCACGCAGGTATAACGGGGAATGTTTTAATAGACATGAATGGAGACAGAGAACCAGATTACTGGATTTCAGATTTACAAGAAAATGGATTGTTCAAGAAGATTGCAGAAGTTGTGAATGTTGATAATGGGACACGGGTAAGTGTAAAATAAACTATATTAAACTCAAATGTTCATTGTCAGTGTAGTCGCTATGTTAGTCCTAATGTTGGTGTTCATTTTCAGATCACACGTCAGCTTGCCGAGCCACGTTGGGGTGACGGACGGGTTGGACACCAGTTTGCACCGCCAGACATTCCAGTATGTGGGTTTCAAGGAGAATTTTGTCAAGGAAGTAGTAGTAAGATAATTATTGTATATTTTATAAAGAACGAAAGTAGTTAGAACAACGAGACAATCGTGAATATGTTTAAACGGTTTAAAACTTTAAGTACATGTGTAACTTTTTTTGAGCTGTGACACTGATTACTGAGCGAATGTTAATGTTTCAAATACCATAATTTGCAATAACACCGCGCAGATGAATGAATATTGCGTGGGAATTAAATCACTTTCAAAATAATTACAGATATCTTGAATATGCATATACTTATATACTCTGTATGCTCACGTGTCGCAGTCGTGCAGTCGAATTTCATATGAATAAACAATGTATTTTTCACGCGTTGTACACATCGTATGACATCAAACTCAACAACTTCACGGTGTGGCTGAAATATTGGAATGTGTAAATATAAATACTTTAATTCCTAAACTACATTTTATTTTTGTTTATTTAATAGGTGTATATATTTACATTATTGCCTTCTCTGCCATTGCTTTGCTGGTTGTACTGGTAGTCATTCTTGGCTTATTTCTATACAGGTATGTAATTCATGAACTGAATGGTTTGTATAAATGTATGCAAGTGTGTATTCAATTCAATAATGTGCAGAGCATAGTAAGACATGGTAGATTGTTTCTTACCTCTGTATTGTTTGAATGCTCTTGCATGTTAATTGCGAACAGACAATGGTAATGTGCTTCATGATTTGCGTTTTCAAAATTCCTAATACTAACATATGCGCACTAAAAGTCTTGAAGCTGATTAACCCACTTTGCTCAGAACCATATTCCTCCCATACAAATGTATATAATAGAAAAACAAAGACAGAACACAACTCCGAAATTAACAATTCAATTAGTTAAACAGTGTCAGTTTTAAAACACAATGCACGTTGTTATCATGAACACAACTAAATGTTTTTGACTTTTGTTATTAGACGGAGTCAGTATGAAGCTGAACTGATGAGTATGAGATGGAAAATTCAAATGGAAGAAGTCCAAATGGTGTCAAATACGTCACATCCGAAAATGGCCTCCGGAAATGGAAGCCAGGTGAGATCACGTATTTCCTATACAATTGTCATTATCCATCAGCATGTTTAAATGAACAGAAAAGCGAACGAAGCTGTAACCACAAGAATGTATATGTTAATTCCTTAGACTAGTGGTAACAATATGGGCTCAGGTTCTTTGCTATCAAGACTTTCCGGGAAAGGATCCACCGATTTACGAAGTACAATTACTAATAAAAGCACACAGTACTTCTGCAAAGTCGGAGTTTATCGGGGATTGACTGTGGCCTTGAAAAAGATCAACAAGGAGCATATGCAAATCAACCGTAAAGTGCTAATCGAATTTAGCGAGGTAAGGCACAGTGAAATACAAATAGAACATGTGTTACGAAATTAGACTCTATGCGCGACATTCAACAATCAACATATCATCAATAAATTTGATTGAACTTCAATCAACCCACTATACGTAATCAGATCAATGTCATAAAATCTGACTATTGTGTGTATTTTCTTTCACGTAGATTAGGGAACTTAGTCATGACAACCTGAACATATTCATTGGAGCATCGGTGGATGTGGGAAACATTTACGTACTATGGCAGTATTGTCCTAAAGGAAGTCTTCAGGTAGTTCATGTTACACTAATGAAAACAATGTTTATATTATCAGATACGTGAACTTACTCATGAAAACCTCAATATATTTTTGGGAGTTTGTATAATAACTTCTAAACTATGTCTTGTGTGGCAATATTGCCATAAAGGAAGTCTGCAGGTATAGTTAAAAGCAGGGTTAATTTGAATTCAAGGATATGTGTTGTGTCGTTCTTTACAGTTTTTAGAACTATCAGTATAGCATGGCAGGTAAATAGTCTGTGTGCAATGTTGAGGCTCTTGCCGTGAACACGTGCTTCGAATCCCGTATTAAGTGTTGTCATGTACGTAGGCGTGTATTACTTATTTAACCTAAATATTGTATTTGTAATTACCGCTAAGCTGTGTCTTGTGTGGCAATATTGACATAAAGGAAGTATGGTACAGTTGTTTCAATAATAATAAATGGTCGTATATTATTATTTGGAATATTAAATTAATATTATTTTTATTAGTAGTAGTAGAATTATTCCGCAACTGAATAACTGCAAACAAATTATTACAAGAAATGTTTGTTTTCTACAGCATCCTTAGCTGAAAATAAAATAATATGTTTGTTAAATCACGGTGTTAATGTTGACAAATTGCTTGGAATTAAACAACTGTGTTAAATTGGTGAACATCAAACTAATAATGTGTCTCTCTTGGCAGAGTGAAACCTTGCAAATAATGAATAAAAATGTCATTTCGTTTATCCTGCTGAGCCACGCTAATGCATGTATTCACTGGAAAATAAGTAGAAGCTTGTATCCCGTCTATAAAGACGTTGTAGATAGGAACATATCTCATTGGACAGTTTATAGCAACCCAGTGTTTTATTTGTGGCTAGTAATTTTAAAGGCTTATGCAGCCAGATTATATTTGTTAGTGGTCAATGGCAATGTGGTGACGTGGCGTTGTTGATATTGAGCATTCCTTCAACCATTCGATCAATTGAACATGCTCATACATATACGTGGTGGCGTTGGTTTCATGATATAGTATCAATTGTTTGCAACTGGACTTAGAAATCTGCGATGCGAGATGATAGACATGACATTCAGGCTTCTGAAAATGATAAGGTGAGGTCGTTCGAGTTACCCGCCGGGGAGCTGACATCCTTATTTCAATGATAGTCTCGTTAGAAGGGTGGCCAAATTAATACTAATCGTTGTATGTCGGGTTATGCTAATATAATATTAAATATCTTTCTATTTTGTTGTGGGAAAATCTTCTGCTTTAAATCTCTGATGCCAGAAAATGAATAATGGTTGAATGTTGTAATCCACTGAATGTATAACTGATTTATTTATCTCTTTATTATTTTTTTTTCAGGATGTGTTAGAAAATGATGATGTGAAGTTGGATAAAGCATTTAAGATGTCATTTATTTCGGATATTAATATGGTAATATATTACCTATATTCCACCGATGTTTCATTTAATTGGACACTAGACGTTAGACAAATGGTAGCCGAAATCTCGTCTTTGCCCTCAAATTGTCTTCTATTGTCTCCCTTCATCGAGGGTACTGTTTCGAATACTATGGTGACCATTTGAGTTACCACGCAAATTTATATTTTGGAGATACTTTTTAGTGTGACTTGTTTTCGTAGTATCAACACAGCCTGTTTGAATGAACGGGTGATCTTCGTGGTGTGAACACATTTACTACAATCACATGAAGCGAAAGAGTTGAATCACACGCACCACAAAAATATATAGATATTGCAAAACACACATACAGCAAATATATTATATTATCATATTTGTGTATTTGAAATATATTGAGGTGTAACCTACTGTCAGTCTAAAATTAAGTCATTAAATTCAAGTTATGTCAGGAATCTGACTCGACTAGCTTATAAGCTATTCCAGATTCCATTTTACCTAGACTGCATGCACAATTTTGTGTTTTGTATGAAATATTTTCTACGTAAATAAATTATTATTTTTATAAATAACATAACATAACTTAACTTAAGATCTGCCGAATAACAATAAAACACGTATTTTGCTAAAATCAAAATAGTTCAAAATTCCCAATCCCACATGACATTTTAGATTGAGAATTTTTGTGTTCATGATATTTTACATTGTATATAACAGGGAATGGAATACTTACACAAAAGCCAACACGGATACAGTTCCCATGGCAGCCTGAAATCGTCAAACTGCTTGATAGACAATCGGTGGATAGTGAAAATTACTGACCATGGTCTGCCGAGTTTTGTGCAAGGACAAACTCAAGCTGACGACACGGAGGAGCAAGATAAATTCTTACGTAAGTTTTTACAAGTGCGCTCACTCATCGCTTAAAGTGGAATGATACTGAGAGTGAACATTTTGTCATGTAATACGAGGTATTACGAGAATACCTCAAAGTATTATTAGAGGACGCTTACATTCCATATTTGGAATTCGCATTTTCTAATATGGTAGGATGATAATACTCCGTTAAATACCGCAAAATTACGACGCGCTGTAACTTATGACGTTACGGTGACAGATGTATAATAATATTCTATATCGCATAACGAATGAATAATATTCTAAAATTAAAAATGCAAATGTAAATTTAAAATGTACCACAGTATCAGTATCATTATCAGTATCATTATCATCACGTCAATTTTAAATAAATCGGTTTAAAAACTGTTTTGTCTATATAAACTACTGTTAAATTGCCAAAAACAAAATCTGCACATAATAGTATATTAAAGTTATTTACAAGTAGCGTGCGGGTCTAGTACATTGAACAAGTAAGTCACGCACAGTAAGTCATTGTCATCTGGTAATTCACCAGGAAATTGAGAACGAAATATTATTTCTTTTACATATTATTTTATAGTTATTTTTTTTCTCACTCAACTGATTGAGTAATATTATTGATCGATATGGGATTGCTAACTATCCCACATCCTCTGGGTATGGGATAATTGTATGTGACGTCACAGCTAATGAATTCATAAAGCATAATCCGTTCTGTTCCAGGTAAATTATGGACCGCTCCTGAAATTTTGCGTATGAACTTTGCACCCCCATGTGGCACTCAAAAAGGAGATATTTACAGCTTTGCTATTGTAATGTTTGAAATTCTTGAACGTTCTGCGCCATATACGTTTGACAACATAACACCTAGAGGTAAGTCACAGTCGACAGAACATATCTGTGTAGTTGGTTTTAGATCAATAAACCGTCTTTAGTCACAGGGGGAAGTACGCACACAGGTCTTGTTTAGTGAAGTTTGTAACTTCGAGCTACACTAATTTTAATTCAAAAAACAAGCTCGGTTGAAGTTGTTTTTGACTGGAACATTACATATTCACATAGTATTCAGAAATTACATTACTGATAGATCACTATCGATATGGTGTCGTATTGTTCATAGTATTTTGTTTCGCAACTCTAGATGCTGTTAATCGAATTCGAAGTGGTGAGAGTATTCCGTATCGTCCAGTCGTATCAGTCTCAGATGAGAACGAGGTAATGGGCAAACGTATTTACCAGTTAATGACACAATGCTGGAGCGAAAATCAAGAAGAGAGACCATCTTTCAGCAAAATACGATCTGTTATTCGTGCTATCAATGGCGGAAAGTTAGTGATTTATATTCACTCATTCATTCATCCATCCACAACAAGATTAGTTAATGAAAATGTTGAATAAATCACTTGTTTGGTGAAACATAATTCTACTCAACACCCCGCTGGCAACAAGAGTTGCATTATTCAATCATTACAACAAGTCAATGTGATTATCGTCATAGTAATGAATATTCATCTATTGTTGATACTAGCTGTCAAAGATAATATATGTGTTTATACTATCATTAATAAATTTGTTCTGTGTAATGGCTATCATTGTGTACTTATATGTTACACTTATAATGTCTTTCAATACCATAGATCCAGAAGTACGTCTTATAATCTGTTAAAAGATTGATATTGTCCGATAATATTATTAGATTATAATATTATATCCGATCAATCTACGTAGAGCTTTATTTTCAGGGTTTATCTACACAAATAATACCATTAATCGTATATCAAATTTACACTGATAACTCGGGTATGTGTCAAAATATTGTTGAAAAACCAGTCAAATTCAAGGAGTTGGACACATTTTTAGGTCACTTGTGAATAAACGAAATTTGTTAATCACTTTTTTGTAAAAGCGAGGTAAATAAATTACTTTTTTTATTTCTTCATGAGCAGGCTTTCTGAATTTACGTGTTCACTGTCTTAAATGCCCACTTCGTCGTATTATATCAAACAACGCGCCGTGCATGCATTTAATTACTTATATAACGATGATAACGTGGACAGTGGTAAAGTAATCAGTGTGTGTTATATTTCAGAAACATCAGTATTATGGACAATATTTTAAGCATGATGGAAAAATATTCGTATAATCTTGAAACGATTGTCGAGGAAAGAACAGAAGAACTTGTGGAAGAGAAACGAAAAACGGATCGGCTGCTGTATCGAATGTTACCTCCGTAAGTTCAAATATACATGTAATAATAGCAAATAACATGCGGAAAAATAAATAGGGAGTAGTGTACCCATACTGCTCCACCAAGTGTCAGTAGAAGCGAGCATATATAGCGATTTTAGCAGGACATTTTCACATATCTGATTAGATCTCAATTCCTGAATCACCTTTTAGTAGGTTTCAAAGTACCGTCATGAAAGGTATGAATGATGTTACTTTTCTTACATACACTTTAGCAGTATTCTCACACTTATGTACAATATATATTGCAGGACTGTAGCTGACGCCCTTAAGTTGGGGAAAATTGTGGAGCCCAAGCATTATGAATATGCCACTGTGTATTTCTCTGATGTTGTCGGTTTCACTAAACTGTCTTCAGAGAGCACAGCAAAGCAGGTAACACGATTTTTTTTAAAAACACGTTGGCGGATATAATGATATGACAATTTTCTCAAATAATGTCGATTTATTTATTATTCACAACTTTCTTGACATTTTTGCTACTTTTTCTATACAAAATACGACACAAAGTATTCAATGAATACAGAATGTGTGGATGCAAAGATTATTAAATAATGAAAATGCAACTAATGTGAGCCCTTTTGTCGTTATAATGCACTCTGGGGCTTACTGTAAATGGGAAAGTGTGTGTAGTTGTCAGTGATGGTGAATGCTCTCATATTGAAAATCCAGGTGCTAGTCTTATGGATTGGAATATGTTGTCCCATTTATGTACACAATGTCAACATTTTCAATTAAACATTCTTAACCGTGATGCCATTCTTAGAATTGGACTTTCCCCCCAAAATAAACTAAATTCGCGCCACAGGAAATCAAATGAAGATATAACTAAATCCTGTCTCTGACTGACCGTATGTATGCACGTATGCTTGTCCGTTCCATTTATATATTATTACAAAAACGTGTTCTGCTAGTTATTGAAACGCCGTATTCTCATTGGTTAGTCGGTACAACGCAGTCCTTGTTTTTCTTTATAGGCAATATTGGGAATCTTCCGCGCATCTTTAATAACTACACGTGGGATATCAATGAAACTTGGTACAGGGTTTTTCTTGCATAATGGCCATATCAGATTACTTTGGAGTGAAATCCATGCAATATAAATTGCTCAATTTGCATAAATTATTCATTTTACTTCAAATTCATTCCTTAGTATAATTGTTAGTAATAATGACTTGAACCACCTCAAGGAGCGGAGCTATATTAGTTGACAGCCATAACTTTCGCACACGAGAGCTCTTTTTAAGCTGATATTAAAGAAGTTTGTGAAAAAAAAACAATGTTTATGAATTTATTGGGCGTTACATTCAAGAACACTCCTATAATGCAATGCTATGTGAATAATACTCGGTCAGCTTGCTGATGCAATGAAATTGAAAAAAAAAAACCTGCTATCTTGAATGTTTTATTATTTTCAGGTTGTTGACCTTTTGAACGATCTTTACACATGTTTTGACGAATTGATTTCAAACCATGACGTATATAAGGTAATGTTCTTTACCATGTTCATCATATAAAGTGTACCTAACAAAATATACATGTTTGACTACCTAATAACTCATAGACGAGTAGTTATTTTGTCAGTCAGTCTACAAGATATGTGAACAAAGTGGTCAGATGTTTAGAAAAGTGTTAACACAACCTGCCGTACACGTGGCACACGCTTCATATCATTCTCTGTCAAAAGATCAGAAAGATGATACTGATGTCATCTGTAATATACTATACCTATTGTAATAAGAACAAAACTAATGAAAAAACACTTCTACAAATAAGGTGACATTATCAGTATGTGGAATGTAAACACATATTTGTTTATATCTCCAATATATTTATCTGTACAGATCAAATTCTATTCAATTCATGAAAGCTTAATATTTCAACTTGACCTTTAGATACATTTCTGATGTGCTTTGTATCAAAAAACGCAATTTTAGTGATTATCTTCCAATAATATATTCAATAATCCAACTGATCATAAGGTATCAAATCATGCAGTCAACTTCGTGTGCCTAAAACATATTTACGAGATACCAGATTCTATGACAACAAAAATGATTTTAATTTCACCATCGAACGTCTACAGCAATATTTTTGGTTGACACCATCGTGATATTTCGTGACGAAGCGAGTCGCATATATATATATATATATATATATATATTTCACACAGCGATTGGTTTTATCAAACGTTTATGTCATAGATGTAAATAATTGACAATATAAGTGTCCGTCTCATTTTATTGAATTGTTAGGTGTTGATGGTAAAAGGCTCGGAACTGCTGTATGTTTTTTTATGGAAGTTGTATATGATAATATCAATTATATGTTGTTATATGATAGTCTCGCGATATTCCGATATTAATATACTTACACTGTAATGTATAAAAATAGGTTGAGACCATTGGTGATGCATATATGATAGTGTCCGGTTTGCCACAGATGAATGGTAAACGTCATAGTGCTGAGATTGCCAACTGTGCATTGGACCTGCTTAGTTCCATCACACGTTTTAAAATACGTCATCGTCCTGACGAAAAACTGCAACTGCGAATTGGTATACATACAGGTCCTGTAGTGGCTGGTGTTGTTGGTTTGGTTATGCCTCGATATTGTCTGTTTGGGGATACTGTCAATTTAGCGTCTATAATGGAATCTAATGGAAAACGTGAGTTTATCAATTAGATCCACATATTTTGTATACGGTTTATTCGAAGAGACGTTTGGTAAATAATGCTATCATGTTTACATTTGTAAATAATAAGCACATGTTTTTTTTCAGCTTTACATATCCACATCACCAAGCAAACCTACCTAGCTCTGATCGCATTAAATTGTGGATATCGTATGTATCATCGTGGAGAGATACATGTCAAGGTACGTTGAATATGTAAATAATCCACAAAAGCATTTATGTGACACTAGAGGGTATATGAGACAGTCAATCGTAATTTTCATACTACTTGTCAAATACATTTCCCAATACACCTAGTAAGCCTTTTTAATTAATTAACAAAGCTTATCTTGTGTGAATTTGACAATCTTTATAAAGGGACAATTGTTTTCAATCATGTAATAGATTTTGGAAACTGACATAATTTTAAAGTGATGAATACAATTGGGGATTTATTATTATAGTGCGATTTATTTCTTATCATTTATGTAGTTTTGAATCGTTATGCACGTTCATTTGTGAAATGTCATTTTATTGCCTACATATTTGAACTTCCCATAAGATAGTGTGGTATGGAGGAAGAATAATGCATTGTGGCCAGTGAACAACACAGTTCAGAAGCTGTAATTTAATTAAAAATTCTTCGTGAATTTAACCAACGGTTGACAAGGCCGTAGTAGAAACTAACACTCATACTCATACAGGCATCGGTTTAACGCCGATCACCTGTGAAAATTGAAACAACAAGCGAACTGTCTAGCGTCGAGAAGATCCATATATAAGAATTCCAGAATTAAACAAGGGAACATTACAAACATTGTATCAATGTACGAAGACCTTAATAGGCTCTTGCTGAACAGCGTACAATTTGAGTCCACTAGATATTTTTCAAACCCTCGCTATCAAAGCTATTATTTTATAGTGGTATACTGTGGTATACTGTATTGTGTACATCTCACGCGAGCCATCATTGGGACCGCAATGAAATAAATTTATTTCTGTAGTTCTGCAGCAGACTTGATTAGTGATGCGCCCGTAATTGACTATTTAAAATTAATTTGATTAATTTTCTCACCAAATAGTGGCGTTTTCACATTAAAATATTGTTCCCATTCGTAACTTGGTACATGAATCTAGCCAACCGGAGTGGGTTTGCTGTACATGTGTTTGTTTGGTGTGTCACTAGGTCTGATTGTAACACTTTTCAGCTTAACAAAAAGATAGCGTTTGACAGCGTAGTTGATTATCTTAACGACTGCTCACAGAGTACAAAACGAAATGAATTTACATATCTGAATGGCATACTTGACACAATAAATAATATCGCAAGATAAATGTACACAATTATGTTATTAAATTCGTCACAACCTGCTACTACACACCGAAGTGCATCTCATAATGTGATAGGCAAATTTGACAAAATAAGTTGATTGTCATCGACAACACAATATTCAAGTGCCCAGAGTCCGCGTACGTTGGGAACTACTTCTTTACTTATTTCTTTATCATGTCAAAAGATGTGGGAGTTTATTGAATTATCGAAATTAAGAAAATCATTGATGTCATATATGGCTTTGCATTGTTTTTTTGATTATTGATAATGCTCTCACGACAGATTTAAAATACACTAATCAATATATTACACTAATGAGTAGGCCTGGGTAATGTGGAGGTCATGTCAGTGTAATTATTACCACATATATGTGAATCAGATGCAAATCGAACATCGATGGAAAGTTAATTGGTGTACGTTGCTCAATTAACGGACAAAGGGTTAATAAATAAGAGACACATCGCTGACAAACTGGTATTACATTACAGGGCAGAGGTTTACTATCCACATATTTTCTTGCTGGTAAAGATGGATACAAAGGTTTCCTGCCTGCAGTTCTTAGGTATGTATGTGAAATTAGATTTGTCAAAGTATAGATCAACCGCAAATCCGGTGATGTGTGTGAGGGTACGATTATTTGAAACCATTTGTTTAAACTAACAATGGCGAAAGACTCGACACATACACACCGGGAAAAGCGAGAAAAAACGGGCAGACACAGAAAATGCAAATTCTAGTTCCATATGATGTGTCTTGAGAGCCATATAATTAGTATATTGCAAAAACAATATGTTTGTTTAATTCCACCACGTGCTCAAATACGACAGAAACTTTAAAACATGATATGACTGGTACTATTTGATTAGATCAATAGTGATGGTTTCGACCTACAACACTTTCTACTCTTTCTTTGTAAATAATCAACTATATACTAACTCGAATCTGTTTTGTTGATATTACCATTAGGTTTTAGATATACAAATCGTTTTCTGATTTACTGGTATAACTTAGGAACTACTTGTATATATGTATATATATAGTAAATGCAATATTATGTATTTGTGTCTCACTATACCTCAATCGCTGTACTAAATACATAGCGTTTTTAACATGAAGCAAATACAGTATTTCCCGACTGTGAAAACGTCCTGCAATTTGATGAAATTCACACATTTCATACAAGATACTGACATACAACAATGAACAGTTATGACTCTAATTTGACGTACAATAATATTGTTTTATTTCTACAGCCAAGGTGATACCTCTGGGGAGTATGGTGGTGATTGCGCATAAATTTGATTGATTTGATAAGCTACAGAAAGAGCAAACAAGTTTCAACTGTCCAAGACAATTATTAAACATAATAATTTTACAAGAATAATTTAATATAATGCGTCACTAAAACCCATCACATTCTGCAACAACATTCACGTATATTTGCATCCATATGAATCATAATGTCACAACAACTAGTAGGGGGCTGCTAATGTATTCAGCGATTTTGCTAAGTCGGTCGAAAAGGTGAATAATGTTGAGTAAGTAAGGATCGGATATTATTAGTAAATATGTTATAAAAGTATTAATAAACACAATCGTGTGATGGAAGCAGTGTCAATTACCTGCAAACGAAGCATATAATATACGATCAAACTTGTTTTGTATCAATGAGTACCTGCGATTGATTGTTTCTGCTGGTGGACATGTACAGTTTCCGAGTACAATCCTGACTGACCAGGTTTGTATTGAACCACGATACTAAGATTATATGTGTGTAGTGAGACAACGAATGTCGTCTTGTAATTTATTTAAGTTAATTTGCTTGTAATTTCATCATTTTACTTAAGTTGAATATTTAGATGGTTGGTTTTAGGAAGATTAGAATAATCTGCTTATTTAGATTGCTGATATACATAAATTACGTGAGTGTTTTTCATAATTTAGTTGATTTTATTTCATTTGAAATTTTGCAAATGTTTTGCTTTTTATGATTTTTATATGTATCGTTTTACCTAATTTGCATTCTAGTCAGTTTGTTTTATATAATTTTCATATATGTAAGCGGCGTGATTTCGCTCAGTTGTCACTTGAGCTTGAGATTCGTTTTTTGCCAATTGTAGTTCTGAGGGAAATTATAATTCTTATACCAAATGGACATTAAAGTCATGTATGGTAACAACATGTAAATAGCTGAAAAATGAAGCTTTGCTTTTATAAAATTCGAATGCTGTTTGTATTTACATAACATAAATGCTGCAATATTTCACCCATTTGTGTGTATAAACAAATGAGAAAAAAAAAGATAACAGTTTATGTCCCTGTAATCCTATTGCCAAACCGCTCCCAGCTAGGATGGCCCTTCTAATCACTACGTCTGTCTATCTCTCGGAGAAAAAAATCTTAGACATATCTCATTCTACTCTGCTTGAGTGTGTTCCCAAGTTTGATTGTTTGATATCTTTTCCTTTGTTTATCACTCATGTAGTTAGGAGAAAAAAATCATAAAAATTGCCGTCTTACGGTGGCAAAGGTAACATTTAGCTTGTGCAGTACCATCCCGTCGCTGCGGGCGGTGTTTACTAGTCATCATTTCGAAATGTCAATTTGAGAAAATGGTGTGGTAGTTAACGCGCCTGTCTGAATCAGGGAGGTACTTATCGTGATCTCGTGTTCGAATCCCGTATTTAATGTTGTAATAACTGTGTATTCGTTTACATGCTTGTTTAGTTTTTTTTATATGCAGTAATGCAACAAATAGTACAAATCATGTTACGCAATCATTTGGAAAATGTTTTTCAGGCTTTCAGTTTTGTTGTCTGATTAATAAAATAGACAAATTTGCCATGTAATAATTTTATTAGTACTATGTATGTTATGTATTCATAGAGTTTGTGAAATAAAAACGTTGTTTAAAACATCTTGAATTATGTTGTTAGTATATACTTTATTATGGTAATGACAGCAATGGATTGGTCACGAATTATTTATACTCTACAGGCAATAACACATTTAAAAGTGAAGAACAGGGATTGAAATGACAAAATAATTGTGACATAATTGATCCCTACGTTGATCCGATTGGGGTAATTAAGTGAAACCATAGCTTGCATATTGATGTATTAATTACGAGAATGCATTTGAAATATACGCACATTGTAATGTTACAGTAGCGTATCACAATTTGATTTGAACTCGTCGTAGAAGCCTAAAGTTGTGCTAATAACATTACTGGCTGTGGCATTAGTGCAGCACGTAACTATATAAATCTGGGTCAGTTACACGTATATCAGTGCATATAAAGAAACATATCTGTAAAATAAACTACCAGCTTTGTAAATACTCCGACAATGCAGACTAGTTTGCTCGAGTTACTTATTCTCCTAATTTATTGGCAAAATTCAATTCAAGTGTTTGAGGAGGTGAGGTGGAAGGTAAGTATATAGATTAATTGATTTAAAACAAGGAAATTAGGGTTCTTTATTGAAGTTCACAGAACCCTTCCTCATGAGGTTGTTATGAACATATCAGTGATAGAACACAACCATCGATTAATGAACCAAATCCAACACGAACGCTCAATTTGAACGAAGTCAAATAGTATTTATTGTGCATTGAATCGTATGTAAATAGATCGTGACATCGACGTCATTTACCGGTAACGTTGCTATCGTTACAACCGCACATGGTTAAGGAGCTTCCGTTTTTAACCGAGAGGGAGGATTTTGGCAAGCATCTAGTAAAATATAAAAAGTCACTTTCCGTGAATTCCACGAAATATTATAATTAATGTCATAGTGTTTTATATCACATTTCATTTAACAATACATAATGCCTTACAAATCTGTTATCTGGTGTGTATCATATTTCAAGTAAGCTAAAGCACCGCATACTTCATACAGCCGGGTAAATTATATTAAAGCAATTTCTAGTAAGACTATAGGGGAAAAACTTCAACATTATCAGAGTTCTAATTTTGTAGATGTTGATGAAGCAGTGGTTTGACAATGATGTCAGTGAGGTAAGAAGAAACCTAATTAAATATTCGCATTTATTAGACAAGGACAATAGTATTAGACAAGAACGATATAAAATTAATAAAAAAAAGGAATATAAAGCTAATTTATGTAAATAGAATCATTATGCTTAAGGAGTCTAATCCTAAGTGTTTCTGGAAGTTACTTGAGGAACTTGGTGATTTAGATAAAAACCCACGAAAGCATGACATCATCAGTGTAGAGTCATGGTTAAATCATTTAAAATGTTTAAATAATAAAGTTAACGTGGAAGATAAAAGCTTCTCACAGACTATTGTAAATGATATTAGTAGTATGGAAAGTTTAGATGATTACAAACACATTATTAATCAAGATTTCACTAATAAGGTATTGCAGCATAGTAAACTTTTAAAGTCAGGCATTGTTTAAAGACAAACAGGGCAACCAAACCTGTGTCTAAATTAAATTAAATTAAATTAAATTAAATTAAATTAAATTAAATTAAATTAAATTGTTATCTTTATTGCGCAAATATTTGATTCGACACTCTGTGGTTGCTGTATGCTTGTAGTTTCTCGGATAACTAAACATGGATAACAAATCAGGAAATGTTATGTTTTAATGAAATATTTTGCGCTGTTCGAACAATTGAGTTCAGTGACGGAATTCTATTTCCGACGCGCGCTACAGCTTTATATCTACGTCCAACGTAAAGAAAGGGAAGTGTTAGAATGTGACTTTAATAACAATATCGGTTATGTTGGTAGTTTAATCAATATAAAATTCGGACGTTCGAATGATTACTAATACTACAGCATAATTATCGCGTCTATATTGCATTTTTAATTGACACAAACGTGTTTGGCTATATGTACAGTTACCATGACATTACATCGCTACGAGAGGGGACATCCCATGGAGCATTGCACCGCAGATAATTACAGTGTGGTGTCATTAGTGGTTATCACGTGGTGTATGATTACTGTTTTTATTTCGTTACCATGCAACCGACACTATGACCAAGTTGGAAATGATATAGGGATATTTAAATTGAGTACACATGTAATGTTTCAATTGATTTCAATTTCATCATCAAGTGTATACTCATTCCACCATGACACTCTCATGGTTGTTTGTCCTGAGCTCTCTCTTTGCATACCTAATCCCCGCATACTCGTTAATCCATATCAAATTGGGTTTTATGGCACCATGGACGTCAGGATTCGATTTATTAGACAACTTCAGTGGGACAACGAGCGCCGGTGCAATAAACATAGCAATCGACAGGATAAAGGAAATGGACTTGGTTGAAGAACTTGACTTCGAGTAAGACTGATATTTATTTATTTAATTCTTTATAAATCA